ACAGTTCCAATCAAAAGCTGAAGCCAATTGTCCTCTCCAGAATCGGCAAAAATAGTCTTGGCATCGAACTCGTGATCATCCGGAAACACAAGTCGATAGTATTGGAACTGCTTGATAGCCGGCCCTCCCTTTGGTTGCTTCTTCTTGAGCTTGTCATAACTATGATCCAATGCAGCCGCAAGTCCCTTGGCAGCGTTCGTTGTCGATGCTTCAAATGCATCTCGATGGAACGCTGATTGTAATCCCAGCGGGGAGTTTGACCAATAACTCATTGCTGCTCGTAATACCGCCGATCGTCCAAAATCCAGCGGAGATCAATAGAAGAACAATACCGTATCCATAATAGAGATATCCTTTGTGGTCGCCCACACCCTCAAGCATCTGGCTGAGCTCGTAGACCTGAAGTGGCCCATTATTTGCCAGATTTTCAATATCGACTTGGATTGGAACTAAGAAACAAGCAAAAGGCAGTGAGGAGAACATCCAAGAACAAACATTATCCCATTTCTCAGCACGTACGAATGCTAGAGTTGCTGTTGCCCAAGTTCAAATTGTCGAGACTGGCAGCAAGATCTTTTGTTGGGGTAGATTTCTTCATCTTGGCGATCCCTTGCTGCTTTGTTGGTGTTGACTTCGGAGTTTCCTGCGTTTCCTGCTTCTTCTTGGGTAGTTTGGTGGGCGTCTCGATCACTGCTGGAACGGGCAGTTCGTCATCTTCGTCTTCCTTTGAGCTGATCGAAGAATCGGTTTTCTCAACCTATTCTTTCTCTTTCTTGGTGGGCATTTCTGGAATTTCTAGCTTCAGCAATACTCTGCTCCGCCACTGATTCTGTGACAACAATTCCCACTTGTTTACCTTGTTGCTAATCTTGGTACAAAGAGCTGAGCCAACTTCTCCGTACAAAGCTTTGTCATCCGAGTTGTGCTTGTCGAGAAGCTTTTGCAGCACCTTTGGGCCCTTTAGCTTGTGAATTCCTCCGTACTCTCGTTGAATGTCAGTTGCAAGAGACTTGATTACAAATGCGGGTAACCCTGGTCTACTGCCAACAGTAGACGATACAACAGACCCTCCACCAGGATCAGCCTTTGTTTCCTTCTTTCCACTTTGGGTTGAGACCATTGTGGCACCTTTGGGCCGCCAAAAAATTGGAGGCAGAATTCTGAATTCAGAGGTCACCTAAGCCAGCAAGGCCTGCTCGTGGTAGGATTTCTACGTATATCCCTGCTCTTCAAATTCTTTCTTGGAGAGCTAGATGTTTAGCTCTCAAAGTTCTTGAAGTTAGTTGGGTCGTTTGACAGCAACAGCAACAACAACAACACACAACAAACCATGCCGCGACGTCAAACCACCAAGAATTCGAGGACTCCTCCTCCATTACCACCCGACATCCTTAAGGATGAGCAGTTGGAAGTCCCATTGGACGAGATCCCACCAGATGCCGAAGAATCCTGGCTCAAGAGCAAAGCTAGAGCGCTTTTGATGCAAGATATTATCGACAATGTGATTCCGCGACAGCCCGACAAAGCAATGCCAACCAGTGAGATCTTTACAAGCCGTACCGAATATGCTCTTCATGGGTACAAAAACTTCTCGACACGACTTTCAAGCCTTTGAAAGATTGTGAAGCGGCACCTCTCTAGAACCGATGATGATAAGGCTGCATTGAGCAATTTCCTCACAAACAATGTTGTGCACAAATTCTCTGCTCATGGTTATCTGGAATGGGATGGATCAGAAGCAAAAAAGCGATTGGAAGAAGACATCGAGCTTGGCTTACTCGAGACGCTAGAACCCACGGAGCTTTGGTGCCTTCGAGATGCCTGAAAGTTTTTAGAGATCACATCTATCAGCTAGCCAAAACAAAGAAATACCTGCATACATTGGATATGCAAGGAAAGAAGCGCTTGAAACCAAAGATAAAGAAGAAGAACAAAGCCTCCTAGCTGTCGATAGATGGAGTACGGTCGTAGTCGTCTTGTAATAGCTACTAGTAGTGTCGTTGAAAATTGGCTTGAAGACTTAGGACAAGATGAAAGATTTAGAGACAGCAACCTTGTCCTATATGACAAGACCGGAAGAGCCAATCCGGCTTATAGGACAAGATTTGAAGACAAGATTGAGAATTAGGACAAAACCGTGTTTTCAATCTTGTCTTATTTCAAAATTAGACAAAATCGGAAGCACGACTGACAAGATACCGCGATTTCCACAGCGTTCCAGTTGCTTAGAAGCAGATACCTCTAGTGCTTAGCTAGTGCTTAGCTTGCGCTTAGCTAGCTAGAAGTAGATCCCCCTAGCTAGAAGCAGATTCCCATAGCAAGCTAGAAGCAGATACCCCTAGCTAGCTAGAATCCTAGTTATATAGCGTTCGCTGGCTTTAGAGTTTTTCCTGGTAGAAGCAAACCCCCTACTAGGATGCATGTAAATAGCTTTAGCTGATTTTTAAAAGCACCATCCTAGCTAGGATACCTATTTAGTTTTGCTGACTTATTTGTATTCTAACCCTACCCTTATACCTGCAGGGACCACCGTAGCAGGAAAAACAATTAAAGGGGTTGAGGGCTCTGGCAGCAAGACTGCCGAGGTAAAGGGGTTGAGGGCTCTGGCAGCAAGACTGCCGAGGTAAAATGTTGGTTGTTTGTTTCATGTTTACTTACCAGGTAGGTTGTCGCCTGCATGACACAAAACATGACTGATAGTCATATTTTAAGCTCGAAAAGATTTCAAAAACCAAAGCATGGATGGATATTCTCGTCATCGTCTTCTTCCGCCTGTTCTCTTTACCCCCTTGTCTTCGGGATGGGGCATACCGGTAGGTTGTATTAACCTCCACTACGACAACATCGTCGAGATCATCTTCAGAGTGGGCACTGTCGTCATCACTGGAGCAGCAAGAACGACATCACATTGCCGCTCATTGTTCGCGACCTCGTTCGCTCGAGTCGAATGAGAGTCCAGAAATATGAGAGTCGAGTCGAGTCGAGTCGAGTGAGAGGCGCCGCTCTGGCAGAGCATTAGCCTGGGCTAACGTTCCGCATATCAGTAACTCAAAGAACCCATGAGAGCTTCAGGGAATTGGAGTGCTATTTTCGAGCAATAACGATCAGTCGTCTGTTTGTTGATGTAATTCATGGAAGCAGTGCCTGTTCACTTCTTCCGCGTCAGGCTCAGACAGTTACAGTATTTTGACACCCCTTCCGGGCCGGGGGAACACTCGTCGTCGCCATAAGAGACCAGTCTCATCAGTCAAGAGGCAGTAACATACTGTAATTGACCGCAGTGTCGATCGACTCACTCACTCCCGTCACCTTCTTCATGCAATGCCCTACAGCCACTTCGGGCAGCTGTGAGATCAGCCAACTCTGTGCCACCCATGCCCTGCATGAACTCTGGAATGAACATGCTTGTAACAATACTGACTGGGGCATTCTTCTCAGTGATGCTCGCAATGCTTTCAATTAAATGGAGTGCTCCTTCGCATCTGGCCCAGTGGTGCTCGATTTGTCTTCACCGCGCAACCGCCACCATTCCTTATTGGTGTCCTGGATTCTGCTGTCAAAGTCACCACCAAAGTGTGTTCTCATTGTTCCTCCAGCTGACGACAGCATGAAAGCTGCTCACCTCCACCTTGCTAACCTTGGCGTCAAATTCACTCTCTGGTCACTGCTACTTCGATCAGTACGGTAGCTTCATTGGATCCACTATGGCCTTTTCCTCTCGGCTTCAAAGAAAAGCGACTGATTGGAACCACTGCCTACACTCAATCTGTGGACTTTCAACATCTGAGTGGATGTTTGTACAAGGACCTGGTGTTAACAAGAGTGCTTCTCTTGAGTCGAGTCTGCCTTGGTGACAGTTCTCCCTCAAATTTCCATCCTCCTACTCAAGATGGATCCCTCCCCGCTTTCACTGTTTCTCGTCACATCAGTCCCTTTCCGTCCAAGCAGTTGGATTGGGCATTCCCAATCCCATACTATCAACTACCACCAGCCACTTCGCAGCCAGTTTTGCTACGGCGATCCAAGGCTCCTCCATTTAGCTTTGCCGACAACGATGCTCGTGTGACTGGTACCGGTAGTACTGTAGGCGTCTTCACACCCAACCCTCTCGTGGGACTGTCGCTCAACAGATCCTTGCCTCGACCACAGCATCACTCGCTGCCTGAATGCTGTTGCAGAAAGTACTCCCTGAATGATTGATTCGATTGATTCGAATAATATAATTTCCCCACTCTGATGAACCCCCTTTTTATCATTCGGCTCTCATCACCAAGCTTGTGAAAAGTTAAAAACTTAGAATTACTAGTAATGGCAACGGTAGGTACAAGGGAGACTTTAATTATGAAAACGCTGGGATTTTTCTTAATAAAACTATCTAGGCCACGAGGGGCCAACCTTTTTAAAAATTTAAAAATAATTTTACTTTGCCGGGAGTGGAGGCTCAAGGTCCATGCGAAGATTGATATTTTTGGATATTGAGATGCGCAGCGAAGTTGCAGCTGGCAACTCATCTGGCAACTCATCTGGCAGAAAGCTGGCGCATCTGGCAAGGAACGTCAAAGGCTTAAGGATACCTACCGTGGGTTCTGCGGTGAGCCTATTACTTAAATAGTTATCACTTTTTCGTGTAAGAGAGTGCCTTTTAGATCTTCCCTAGAATTAGGGAAGAATCTCACCGTAAATCCGTCCTTACATCCGACCCTAACTAAATGGAAGCCCACGCACGATTAATGGACGCCAGGTTGATGCGTCCCAACAGCATGCATCTGGCAGGAAAAATCGTCGCGTCCGCCAATTGGAGTCAAGAGATCTGGCAAACAATCGATCGATCAAGCAACGTTATCATTTGGAAGTGCTTCGAAAGAGATCACAAAAACAAAAACTGCGCTCAGCAAAAGCTAGAAGTGCAGTCGATCGAACTGGAATCGTTCGAGCCGGAAAGCAAGACTTGTCGAGTAATCATACCAACGAAGCAAACAGCCAACGCAAGCACCATCAAGATGATTCTTCGCCTCCATTCTCTCATAGGACTCTTGCTCGTCGCAAGTGTCCTGGTTTGCTCTCATGCGCAGGCGTCAAATGGTGAAGATGGCATCATCGAGACGTCCTCCAATGATGAACAACTCCAAACCTCTCAAGCCGGAAAGGTTCCTTCCTTTCTCCCAGCCAAATCCAACCTCCGTTTTCCCAACTCTGCTGCCATTGTCCAAAGCATCCGCAAGGAGACTGCACTCACTGACAAGATGCTTGCTCAAGTTGAAACCCTCTCAGATGAGGCTAAGGTTGACCTTATGGAAATGCTCAAGGACTCCTTGGTTCGTTTGAATACAGAATTTGCAAACACAGTTGATCTGGATGAGCTTGACCCTGACTCGGAGTTTGGGGAGATGAGGACCATGATCGAGATGGGCTCGACGCAGGTGCAGGAGGCCATCAGGAGTGCTGAGAATTTGGTGTCGTCCTTTCGAGCCTATTTGCTGGGTGATGGCTCTGGCAAAGATGACACCAATAGCAACGACCAGACTGTCCATTTGGAACGTCGCCAGCTAAACCAAAACACTGACTCGGACACACGATTCACTTTTGACAAAGCCAGTGAGGATGAAGAGTCATTCAATTCCAACTATCAAGACAGTCACAGTCACAGGCAATTCCACCGAAGGGCCCAGCAGGCCTTTCATGCCCACAGTGGCGGCATGCATTCAAGTCATCACATGAATGCAATGCATGGCTTTGGGGAGGCCATTGTGAATGGAGATATGAGTGCTGCTTTCTCCCATATGTTTCCTTACCAGCAAACCAATTCCGGAGTGAACAGGCGTGATGCCAAGGGGAGGAGGCTTGCAGCTCATCCAGATCATACTCGGCGTTTGTCAAAGTCTGAACAATGCAAGCTCCTTGTTCAGTGTGCAGATGGAATGAGTCTCTATGATCAATTCGTGAGTGGGTCGTGAACCATTTGCCCAATTATAGGCTCTGTTGTCATTTTCTGACCATTTCTTTCTTTTCTTCTCAGGTCTATTATTTCTCTGATGACATTGATAAAAACACTGGAAAGCTGGACGATAATATCATCCATTTCGATGAGGCAAAATTTGATGAGAAGCGCAAAGCAATCAAAGCAGCTGTTGCGGCAGCAAAAGATGGCGATGACGCTTCGTGCAACAGTCTTCTCCAGTTATTCCACCGAACAGTTGAGAAAGGGAGCATCCCAAGCTGGGAAGGAGCAAGCGTGAGTCAGGTTTGTCTAGCTGAGGGCACTACACAGTATGTCAAATTCAGTTCAATCTTTGAAGGTCTGGTGGGCAAACCATCATATTCTGAGAGTGCTCTTGCTGCCTGGAAGACGAAACTTACAACTGTCAAGGACAAGTTGACTAAGGACCTTGCAGTGGAGCCATTCCAGTGTGCTGAGAGGCTCTTCTACAACAGACCACAGAAATCCACAGATGTGGAAGCCTTTCCCTACGGAGGCTGCAAGGGCAAAGGAGACAGTAAAAAGTGTGAAATTGACAAATACCAGTTTCCAATGGGATACGACATATCTTCCGCAGGTGCGAGTGCCAACCATTACGTCAAAAGACCTGATGGGAAGTTCAAATGTGATTCTACTGGCTTGGAAGTCATCACAACTTTTGCACAGTGCAAAGAGGCTGGTTTGCAGTTGGGAGGAAAGACAGACAGTAAAGGAGACCTTTGGATTAAGGACAATGATGAAGGCTATCCTTGTGGCTGCTTCATTCAGAAAAGTGACAAAGGCATCTATTTCAATGCCGAGTTGAAATGTGGTACAACTGACTACTCTTCAACATACAATGTTCTCTGCGCAAAGGGAAAGGTTGCGAAAAGGAAGAAACCGGACAAATATTCAGCAACTGCTAAGGTGAAAGAGTGTGAAACAGGACAGAAGAAGGTTTCCAGTGTCCTAGAATGCATTTCAGCTGGTAAATCACTGGGGGGGCATATTGACACCGATGGGAAGTTGTGGGTATACGACAGTTCTAGCTATCCGTGTGGCTGCTTCCTTGACTCAGGCAATGCCATTATGTTCAATGCAGCGGAGGGAAGTGGGTGTGGTGCGAGCAGTTCTTATCGCAAAGTCTGTGGGGAGTACAACAACCGTGCAGATGCTGATTTGTTTGAGAACGCAGCAAGAGACATACATGGTAAGCTGTTCAACAATGACAATAGTGCATATTCGGTTAGTTCCTACGCTACTGCCAAAGAAGGGGTTGATGCTTGCTTGAAAACGGAAGTGGCCAAGATTGATGCTGCATGCAAAGGTAGTGACTGGAAAGGTGCCGAGTACTACAAGTGTGTTGTGAAAAAGACTTTGGAGGCGCACAACAAATGTGACATCTTTGCACCAATGCAAAAGGGGATTGAATTGGTTTTTGGAGCAAAGACCTCCCCAGGTAAGACCAATCCATTCGGTGTCAAAGTGGGCTTGATGAAGATGAGCATTCCAGGACAACTCATTTCGTGATTCTTCAAGGGTTCATTTGTGGCATCACTCAGGCCATAGTTGATGATGGTGTTTCAATGCCTGGAAGGTATGTTGAATATTTACATGACAATTATTAACCAAACTGCCCTCCACCTTGCTCAACACCCTTCTCTTCCCTAATGAAACCAAAGCTGTTGCCTGGATGCTCCATATGAACTTGAGGGTGACAGCTGGGGGCAGCCCTACTCTTGCTCTGCCAAATGCAAGAATCCAGGCCCATACCTGGCAGGGATCAACGCAGAAGCATGTGATGCTAATGGAGGAACATGGTGTCCTGCCCCGAAAGCAAATTGTGCACGTCTCCAAACTTGCATCCAAAAGTATATCCAGGATGCTGAAAGCGAGGGAAAACCTGCATTTAAGACCTACCTTGCGAATGCACCAAAGATAGAGGATCCCACCAAGCAAAAGCAGTGTGGCAAAACTAGACGTTACTTTGGGTGAGTTCAACCAGGGGCAAAATTGTCATGGCTGTCTTTTCAATCTAACATTAATGCCTCGTGTAAATGTTGAGTCCAGTTTTGATGCATTGTTCATCAATGACAACCAAATCTGTGAGGACATCGAGCAGCTGAAATTCACCAGGAATTTTGACGATTTGGTATGTCGAACTTGCGGTGTGGGTGCCACTATAGATATATGTTTTGGTGTGTGTCTTACCCCTTGCTCCCACAGAATGAGTTTTTTGGATCAGGAAGCGGTGTCAGCAAACAAAAATCCCAGCAAGAAGATTCAAGTGGTATTCCAATGCTTACTCTTCAAGAGCCAGACAGAAGTAAGATCATTCACTTGTTTGCATCGAAATTATCCTGCTGGAAAAGACCTAACTGGTTCATTTCATTGAACACTTACACACACCAGAGGACTCAACAGGTTCATGGGCCACTAAAGACACTTCCATTAAGTGGACAATCTTTGGAATGCAGACGGCTGAACAAGCATTGCAGCAAGGGACGGATTATCTCGCCAGTTTGAAATGTCCTTGTGACGGCTTCTGTATCCTCGAAAACATCTGTGGGAGCATGAAGAACACGGCTCTGACCTTTTTTCAAGGTCTTCTGACGACTTTGAGCCACGTAAGTTTGCTTCAGTTGGGTATTGGGTAACCAGGTGTCAAATGCAATCATCATGGCCAGCCACTAACTAACTTATTCATATTTGCCGGTCCTTCAGACTCTAAGTATTGCATCAAACCTCCACGCAGTTTTGGGAGTGGACCCAGGACCTCAAGCATCTCAAGAAGAAACAGCAGTCGTCTACGACAACAGTAAGTTGGCGTGTCAAGGCAGTCTGGAAGTCGACAGGTTCCGTTCCGTTTATTTCTTCTAACACTAACCTTTTTGACTATTGGTACGCACAGTGAAATCGACAGCTGACTATCTGTATGAGATGCGGAAGGAACTGAGATCCTTGGCAAGCAATGGTGCAAAGGATGGTGAAGACGCTGGTGATTCCAAGGCAAGTGGGTCTCTGTCGGGAGGCGCGTTGACTCGGCTGGAGGACAAGCTAGACGAACTTGGAGCAAAGTTGGATTCACTCGGTGAACAAACCACATTCATGGTCAAAAACTGGGATGATGATGACGAAGACGAAAGGAGGCTCAAGGAACGCCACCCCGAGAATGGACAGAAAGGGCATTTGAGTTACAAAAGCAACTCTTCGAAAATGGACGAAATCAAAGAGATGATGATGCACCAACAACGCGAGCAGACGAAGGCGCAGCAAGAGCAGCTCGCTGGGCTTAAGGAAGAGATGAAGGCTGAGATGAAAGCGCAACAAAGCGAGCAGACGAAGGCGCAGCAAGAGCAGCTCGCTGGGCTGAAGGAAGAGATGAAGGAGATGAAAAGGATGCAGAAACAAATGACGGATCAGCTTGCTGGCGCTTTGGCGCAGTTGCTCCAGAAAGGGCAGGCCTAACTAGATCTGGCTAACTCAGTACATGTATCACGAAACCAACAGTGGCGAATCAACAGATGAATCCAAAGAATCGAACAACGTGTCATGGTTGTCGCTGGCTGGTCGAGCTAGCTAGTCTATTTCTCGTACGTATTTAAAAATATAAACTATATATTGCTGCTGCTGCTGCTGCTTCATGCTGCCCAACGCTCTTCTTCTTTACTGCTAGTATCCCCCTTTTCTTGCTGCGGTTTCTTTTCAATCGTCAGCATGTAATCCGTGTTGGGATTGGCCGGATCCAACAGCTGTTCCAAGATGCGTTCTTCGGTCGGCAATACCGGAGCTCTACCAGGTCCGACATTGGATTCGTGGCCTCCCATTTCCAGCGACCGACGGTAGCATCCCCACATGGCATCCTTGACAGCGGTTCGAAAGCCGCCATTCTCCAGTTCGTAAATGGCCGATGCCGTGGTGCCATTGGGACTGGTGACGTTATTCCTCAAGATGGCGGGGTGTTCTCCCGTCTCCATGGCATACAATGTGGATCCCAACAGTGTTTGATAGACCAGTTTGGTGGCCTTGTCCCGTGGGTATCCCATGTGTACACCAGCTTCAATCATGTCTTCCATCAACATGAACACGTAGGCGGGCGCCGATCCAGAAATGGCAGTGGACATGTCTATTTGCCGTTCGTCATCGACGTACATCTATCATCGTCAAACAAGCAAGCAGAGACAGGTAACAACACGTGGGTGAGTGAGTCTTATTGCCCGGAAACGTGGCCTTCTTTTGGCAACGAACGAACGAAGGAACGTACCGTTTCCCCCAAACACTGCAACACGAACTCGATTTGATTCCGTTCTTTGGCTGTCAAGGAGTTGGTGGAACACCATACAGTCATGCCTCGTCCAATCATGGCGGGCGTATTGGGCATGCTGCGGACAATCTTATCGTATCCCGTGGGCACGTACGTATCAATGGACACTCCAGCAATGACACTGAGAAAGGTGGCATGATCCGGTCGATTCGGTGCTGTGGCTTGAATCTCTTGGAGTAGTGTGGGTGTAATGTTTTGAGGTTTAATGGCACAGACCACCAAATCAGCATCTTGTAGTAACGAAGCAATGCTGTCGGCCGTCTGAATGGTGGGATGCTGTTCCGTGACTTGTTGCAGTGTGGATGGATTGGCATCCATTAATGTGATTTGATCGGCGGGTTGCAAACCAGTGCTAATGAGTGGATTCAGTATGGCTTGTGCCATGTTCCCAACGCCCAAAAAGGCAATCTTGTCGAATGCTGCGTCGTTGGACACTGTTGTGGTTGTGGACGACTTTTTTCGAAGCAATGCATCCGTGTTGGTTTTGGGGAAAAAGGTGCCACTGGAAGCCAGGGAGCTCATGCAACGTGACGACGTGCTGCGCAAAGCTCCCGTTCGAGCCGATACAAGGACAACAACTCTCGGGTTCATCATCATTGTTGTTGTTGGTACCGTCAGGAATAGATAGTTGTGATTGTTGTTGTTTTTGTTTGCAGATTGGCAATTTTGTGACCACCTCCATGCCGGCAAACTGCATGTTGGCACGTGATTGCGTGAGGTTCGTTTTTCTTCCGCCATCTCGGAGGGTCTCAGAGCGAAGAGGTCGGAAAGGTTCCGTTTGAGATTTAGACCTCACAATAAACAACCTGAACCCTGAAGCAAACCTGACGTCAGTGTAGTGAGCTTCCGACGAGTGTCAATAAAAAAGGAGCGAGTATACGAGACTACTAGACTTACACCTTTGGCCAGAGAAGTTTTTATATCATTACATGAAAACTTATATAGAGCAGGCCACGCCAAAGATTTGGTACGAAGTTTGACTACCGAAAGATCACGTAGAGACCTTCCATGCTAAAGCATACACCCACCAGTGCGATGCATCCAAGAGTCCATCCAAGCAAACAGGGGGACCCCCAAACCAACCCCACCCATGCCTCCACTTGCTCATGAGCAAGTGGCGAGAATAAAAGAACAAGGGAAATGGCCAAAATGTCACTGGATAATGGAACAGCCGACAAACAGCAATGTCAATACTCCAGCTCAATAATCGGGAGAAGAACACTTCGTCTTCTTCGTCTTCTTCTTCTTAACAAGAGGACTTTCGACTAACTGCTGCGCCAAAGCCCTGCTGTCGAAAGAAGAATCACAGTTGAAGTTGTCAACCTGAGCAAGAAAGTCATAGCTATTGCGCTTCTTCACTGGAGATTTCTTCACTGGAGACTTCTTGGCTGGAGAGGGACTGTCGATGTCCTCATCATCGTCTTCATCTTCCTCGTTGCTTTCGGTATCATCGAAATCGGACTTGAGCTTTCGCTGGAGTTCTTCCATCGCCGCGGCAGGAGTGTGTTCTTCCTCCTCGTCAGAGCTGTAAGGCAGACCAAGTGGGTTTTCAATCTCAGTGACAATATTGAAAGTGGCCAAGTGCTTGTCATAAACAACGCGATAGGTGTCTTCATCATAGTCAAACGCCTTGCACACCTCAGAGAACATCTCAGGATCTCGATTGGGATGGGGCATAGCGAGCTTCAGGATCTTGAAATTCATCAAGTCTTCGTGGTCAGGATAAGCCTCTTCATCAGGGTTCAAGAAGAGGCGGTGGCCATTCAATCCATACTTGATGAGCATCGTGCCAAGGAGATCTTGCCAAGTAATCTCTGAGAGGTTACCAATGCCTTCAGCCCTGCGAAGAAAGTCCACAATCTTCTTCTTGCGGTTCGCATGCTCCAGGAGGCAACATCCAATTGACTTCAACTCCTTCAGCTTGTAGTTGATCCAGAGCTCCTCAGCTTGGAATTGGATTGGATCAGCATGGTGAATCTTGTTGGTGGTTGAACGAATATCAGGACCGGGAGAGGCAGTTGCACGCGAGGACGAGTCAGGGGATGAATCCGTAGCTTCCGAAATGGGCTGGGACAGAGACATGGTGGTGAGTTTCTTGGTTTCTTCGGCCATTCTGGAACAGCTGCATTGTGAACACAACAACAAACGGCAGAGAAGCAATTCACTTGAACTTCCCAGATGGAGTGCACGGTGGAGTTGCATTGAACCTCCTGAAAAAAGCCAAAGTATCCACCAATGCTACCCAAATTTTACGTTTCATTGGCACTGTCGGAGAGGGAAAAGAATGTGCTGAGACCGAATTTTATTAGGAAATTTGCAAGGGAAGTTGGCAAAGGACAAGTCACATCTTCTGCAGCTATCCACAAGGGGAAATCCGCAATTGGTGACTTACAAGGTACAGTATCACAGAGAACGTCCAAAATAGAAATGGTTTATAGTGTAATATGCTAGCACCAAAGTCAAAGCAAAGCCCTTTGTAAACCTTCGAAACCACTCGTGTCATTGTCTGTATTGTTCTCCTTTCCAGATCCAGCTACTCTGATACGATCGACGATTGTTCTAACATGGGAATAAGTGGTGGTACCCTTGGACAACATCTCACGATAGCTCAAAGTGTTGTCATAAAAGGCAACAAGCAGGTTCACGAGTTCTTCTTCGGTCTTGGCTCTTACATAAAGGGAGATATCGTCCCCAAAGGGAGACAATCGCAAGTAAGTCACGACATTGACCAGTTGCTGATACTGCAGAGTGCAGAGGAAACTCTCGAAGGACTCGAGCATCTTGGGGAGACAACGTCTCTTATTTCCCACAGCAAGTCCACTCTGGTACATGTGAACAGTGCTTCCACGGGCTTGTGATTTCACAACTGTGCCCTTATGGGTGGAATGCGTCTTCCTGAGACCTTCCACTTCCTTTTCGAGTAGCCCATACTTGCTTCGAAGATACGTCGCACAAGGGCAGTTGAACCCAAGGTGTTTGATGCAGTCCTCACAGTCACCAGCAATCGTCCCATCCTTCCACTGCAAGTGGCACACACTCGAAGTGACCGACACCATTGCGTCTGCAATTGTATCTTGGGATGCGCCCTTGTGCATCTTGAGGAAGGGCCTGCTGTCACCATCAAGGGCTGCATTGATGAGTCTAACACGATGTTGGTCAAGGGGGATGCCAATCTTGTGACGAATATTTCCAAGCCAGCCAGTCGCTCTTCCAGAACCATCCACACCACCCATCTCAATGATATCAATCCCTTCTCTCATGAAGCCGGTAATGGAAACCATCAAGCGAGAGCACGTCACAGGAAATTCGATGGTTGCAGAGTCGCTGCGACTGTGTGAGTCATCCTTGAGCAAAGACCGTGCTGTGTGAACAAGAAAGTGTGTCAGCGAAGCATTCTTGGCACAGTCTGCACATATGCTCTTGATTCCATGTCTATTAAAGCTTTCGTTGGGACAGTTGGAGGGGTATACCCCGCCCTCACCACTGCACGAGTAATTCCAGTTCCATCGCGGAAAGACGCAATATTCTTTCTCAAAGTGGTCGGCAGCAGCTGCTTCCCCACGAGTTCTCCAATTCGACATGTACAATGCTGTGACAGTACGTCTTTGTTCGATTGATTTGGTCCTGGCAATGTTCGAGACATGCGAGAAAGCTGTACCTTTCAAGCTACCCCTCGGCTTTTCACGTCTTGTAATGGCAAAGTCGCGCGATTTAATCTTCTTGTAGTAACCCTTCTTTTGTGCAAAGGCTTGGACGACGTGAAAGTAGCAATTAAGAGCTGCTTCTTCCACCAACTGACCATCATCGCTCTCGCAGTCGCTGTCGTGAACATGGATGTCTTCTCTTGGAGAGAAGTCTTGGGTCATGTATGGTTGCACGTCGGTAGCTATTATCTTGCGATCGCGATAATCGGCAAGACTGGAATCACGAGTTTCTGCTGCAAGCAAGGCTCCACGCATGGCTGGGCTATCGCAAATGTCTGCATGACGTTTGAAGAAAACATGAGCTGAAACAAAGGTGTCAGCACTGTCAGAAACTCCCCAGTCGATGTTGAACTCGACTCCAAAAAGCACCCAGCAAAGACTTCTCATAGCAAAGAGGGTTATGCAATAAGGATGAAATCGTTCTCCACCAGCCCGAAGGTATAGAATGGGCCGAAAGGATGCTGTCACATTCCTTGTCTGTCCTCGAAGTTTCACTGAAAGGCCACCCACTGTAATGAGGATGCTTTGATCTCGAATCATCCCCCCTGTTCCATCAGAACAGATTTGTCTTGTGCCCTTGCGTCTGTTGGCAATACTCATCAGCTGGAAGAGGCCAGTAGGTGAAAAGACGATGAATGCACCTTCCAATTTGTCTTCCACATTCCCCATGGCCTTAAGAGCTTGGTGAGCAGCGACTTGTTCCTTGTAAACACGTAGGAGAGGTCCATTCGCGATGTTGCACGTAATCATCTGCTCTGGAGTGCAGTCAAGAGCAGTTGCGAGCTCCTGTGCTGACTGGTAGTTGGACCGTTTGACATAGTTCATGGGTACGCTTAGTTGCCAGTTTCTGAGAACACGGAACAAACTGTCATTTGTGGTGAGGGAACTGTACCCGAAGAGCTGGTCTTTGATGAAAAGCTCTCTCTTGTATGCTACGTGAGTGCGAAGCTGCCGTGTGAGTCGGTCTCTTTCTTCTCTGCCGGTAACTAGATGCTTGTGACTGCAGTACAGCTCTTCGATGTCCGATGTGATGGTATTGGTAATGGACTTTAGAAGCTCGTCTGCAGTGATACGAAGGATAGATCTTCCTCTGTCAATCTCGCCTGCAACAAACTTGTTGGCCATTGCCACCAATGCTGCTGGTAAGCCGTATTGATCGCTGTGTTTGATGGGCTTTTTCGTAATGGCATGTTTGTGACAGTTCAGCCCCTTCCGTATGTACACTCTGAAGCGCTGCTTGTGGTGGACGATGTCACCTAGATCTCTAGTCTGGCCTCGCCATTGGCACTTCCAACTACCATCTACTGCAGTTGCACGGCATCGAAACTTGTAGCACAACAGCCCTCCACTTTGTTTGTACGTTCCATCCGCCATCAAACATTGCTTTCCATTGTAAAAACCACCGTACGTATCAAAGATCTGGGCCTTTGCATCATCCTTCGAGCTGCATGCATAACACTTGGGGTCTTCTACGTAACCACCAGCAGGTGTAGTCTGCCTGGGTTCTTCTGACTGTCTATGCACGATCTCCTGCGAGTACTGTCTCGGTTCGCCGTAATGGGGCTGTGGATAGTACTGGTACGGGTACGGTTGGTGATACTGGTGCATTGGCTGGCCAAGATATGTTCCTGGTGCAACCGGGTGCCGGGGCACAATCCCATGGTACGGGTAGTATTGCGAGGGGCCATTCCAGTTGTGATACGAAGGGTGCACACTACGATATTGACCTTGGTACAGTGGGGGTTGTGCCATATTTCCTCCAACGTTCCATGTTCCTTTCTGCGATTGCTCCCTTTGGCGATTGACCGGTAGCGGCACCTTGTCGCCATCATTTTCGCTCATCTTCTCCATCCAGCGATTGCTCGCTATCAAACTACAAATCTACTTTCAGCGAACACAATAGTAAATGCTGTTTTACGTATTACATGAGTACCACTTTCAGCGATGATTTTTGGAGAGTCCATTCTCCGACTTCCAGATTGCATGGTCGCAAACGGCCCATTTGGCTACCCAAAACAAGCATTTCCAACAGAGAAAATGCGACAGCTCCCTCAAATTGTGACTCTCACTAGTGGGAGCATGCAGCATTTTCGTCGTGGCTATGCACATTCATGTCTCCCCAAATAAATAATTCGATGCATTTGGCTGACTGTAGGCATTGCTTGCTTTGCCGCCTATTATCCAGGTTTTCGTGCGAAGTCCGCCATCTCTCCTCATTCTTTCGTCATTATCCATCATTTGTGAACCTTGTTGTCTACGTTGTCGGTGGCAATGGTGTTGGCACTTGCTTTTGCCTTCCCCATGGAGCGGCCGTGTTGGTGTGTTGGTGTTGGCTGCTGTTGTTGTTCGCGTTATCTCTTTGCACCGCTTTCTTCCTTTGGCAATTGACTGACACATCCCTGATTTGCAAGTTCTCACCCCTTGTTCTGGTGCAGGTGGTGGCTTTTTGGGGGTTCCCCGATCTGCTTGGTGGTATTTTGGAATGTTGGGTGCAGTGGTAAGTTGTCCGCTTTTCCAATCGTGCGTTTTCCTTCGCGCCTGACAGTACACATGACTCACCCTTACTTTGTTGCGCCTGCAGGTCATTCGGCCCATGTGTGTGGCCAGGAGTACATAACTCCCAAAAGGAGCGGCCATGGCGGCAGTACAGTACCGATCACGACATCTTTGGCTGCTACCGGTACCCTTTCCTCTCATCAAGAGCTTCAGACCAATTGACGGGCTCTAGTAGTAGACAGATTGATATCGTTGGACCAACCTCGCCATCAGCAAGCCAACGAACGAAGCGCCATTATCGGGGCATTGTCCTTCGAAACGTCAACTATATTATCATGACCTTCCCCCTGACCCTGCTCCTGCCGCTGTTGGCGCTACTGATATCCCCATTTGCCAGTGCCTTTTCCAGCAATGGCATTCCTCTGAATGTACAGCTGCAGCACTCGATGAATGGGGGCAGAAGATGGCGATCTGACTTTGCATCTCCTGCCAATCAACGACATCTTTCTGTGATCAATACCAGAAGGCAACGACGAGATCTTGTCAGAATACAAAGCAGCGAAGAAACGAGCTCTTGGAAGGAAGGCGAATCTATGGCAGCCCTGGTACAACGAATTCGGTCCATGCTAACCGACACTACCCAAAAGGTCATTCAATGGTGCCACCGTCCATTTACCCAAGCACAGCAATGGGCCATCTTGCTGGTGTACTACTTTTTCCATTTAATGGTCCTCAGTCAACATGTCATTCTCTTTCCATTTCAACTCATACCCAACAATAAGGGACATTTCTGCTTTCTGGGATGGGATTCGTAAGTATGCAACACAAACAACAAAACACAAAGAATAACATTTGTTCAAGATAGAGAGAGCAACACTCATCATTTTTATGTTTGGTTTGTATATTGGTACAGAGTGGCAGGCATGATGTTCTTGGCTATTTTTGTGGCGCTCAAAAAAGGATCTTTGTTTCAAAAACCCTGGCAACAACTCATTGATCACATCTCAACAACATCATCAGTGCCATCATCGCCATCACCACCATCATCATCACTGCAAGCCACTACTACTAGCACGACGGCAGAAACAAAACAATCGAAAGACAAGGCAGAAATGGATGACATTGTCTCCCAAGTTCTAGAAAAGTTACCCAGAAATGTTGGACTGCAAAGAACCAAACCAGCATCACCGGATGACACTGAAAAAGAAGAAAAGTTCATTGAAGTGCTGCCAGGCACTCGTTCTTCCACAACAAATTCCGACAAGAACAGCACACAAGAATCCAAAGAACAATTCACTTTTCCCAATGTCACTGCAGCAGCTACAGAATCATCACAACCATCACAACCAACACCAACAACGCCTGCAGCAGTCCCATCCTTATCAAGTAATGCATCACGGACAATGTTGGAGAATGATGAGACCACCACTGCAGCCAACACAACAACAGTGCTGCAGCAGTCGGACATAGCAGAGGTGACCAACAACAATGGCACTTCTTTTACCCCTAGTGCTGCTGCTACCCCTACCGAGGATACATCTTTCACACCATTTCCACGCTTGGATGCAATCTCTCAGCAGATTAGTGATGCGGTTCAGCAACAATTTGACAATACCATGACATTTTTCGCCAACATGTCTAATAGTGTCAACACTAATGACAACAACAACAATACAACAAAGTCCATCACGCAACAACAACAAGGAGGACTGGGTGCAGACCTGTTGGCCAACATGACCGCCACCGATCGACGGCGGATCGTCACCAAGGGGTCCGTCACGCTAGCCATTTATCTACTCGTGCAGACGTATTTTGCCACGGCACGGTTTTCCTTTTTCTGGGAAGATACACTCTATGCCATGGCGGGGGTCGGATTCCCAATGACGGTCGCCATGCATCGATCCTTGTGCGTCTTGTTGGGGCATTTGACATGGGTGGGTGTCGGCAGTGCCATTCTGGGGATTGTGCCACGACCACGCTTTTTTGGTCGGACTACCAAATGGTACCGGCAAACAAGTAGTTGGAACAATGGTAGTGATAGTAGTAGTGGCAGCACCAACAACAATGACGACGATACCAGTGCAACGACAACCACAACACGAAAGAAGAATAACACCTGGATTTGGTGGGTCATTGGGGGCTACAGTGTATCCGCGTGGTTCTTCAACATGGCCGACTTTGTGAACTTGTACACACTGCCACAACAAGTTTTGGAAGAGGCCATTCTGCAAGAAGGAGTTGTCACGCAACT